AAATTTTGACATGTCTTGTGGGTTGATGATGATGTGTGTTAGATGTTTAGCTAGTTCCTGGTGCAGTGATGTAAACTTTTTGTACCAGAAATTGTGAATGTTGTCTACACCAGGTGTCTTCCAGCTGTGTATCAGTGTTTGTTTTGGTACTAATTTGTCTGTAAAAGTTTTTTTGTTGTTTGTAAATAACTTATTTTGTTGTTTTCGTAGTGTACATGTTTTGTATCGTTTGAGTCTACGTGCTTTGGCTGCGAGTTTCTGTTTTAGTGAATCAATGTATTCTGTAATGTGTGTATTGTGATGATCGTGTTTCGTGTGTGTTTTAATTTTTTTGAAAATGTTTTTGAGTTGTTTCTTTAAATTGGGTGATACGTTGCGTCAGCCTACCTAATTGCTTTCTAATGTCACTTATTTGTGTTTCTATTCTTCTCTGCCAGGCAGGCTTTGTGTTTTGTGTATATCTATCTGCGATTGTATTTTCAGTCCATGATGACTACTGTGACTGCCCCAGCATAAACTAATGTATGAATGTCTGAGAGTGTAGAAATTAAATGGATGTAGTGTGGTAGTAAGTGAGTGTTTACATAATTTAGTGTTTTTCTACTACCTATGACGTGTTGATTTTTGGTATTCGTGGTCTTTGTGTGGGATCTGTACCTGTATATTTAGTGAATGTTTCCTGAAATATAAGTGAGAGTGTATTAACTAAATCTATGTCTATGTTATCAGTGATGGATGAGGAAGTGTCTGTATGGTAGTTGTTGTATGTGTGCTGTTATCAATGCTTGTTGCTGGATTATCCTGACAGGTTACATGATCTCTGTTAATAATGTTAAATGTTTCTGTCTGTTGATGTATTTGATCAGCAACCTGTTGTTTGATAAGTTCAAATGTTGCAGCTGGATGGCCGAGTGGTCAAGGTAGCAGCCTACCGCTCTGGGGGACCCAGGTTCAAATCCAAACGGGTCGAAAAAACCCCCAGGAATTTTTCGGGGGGTGCTCCGTTTAGATATATCCTATGTCCCTCACCACCCGGCAGCCCCATTGTGGGCCTGGCTGAATAATGGGCTTGCAAAAAGAGGCCCTCTTAGTGCCCACAGGGCAGAAAGCGTTAAAAAAACAAAAACAAAAAAGTTTCAAGTGTTGTTTGTGGGATATGGTTGTTGTGTATAATTGTTCTTTTTTGATCAACAACCGTTTGTTCGGTGACAGTGAGGTGAGGATATTGTATGAATCTATGGTATAGTTGTTGTCTGTACGCTGTCATGTTTGTTTCGAATTTTGTGATGATGTAGTAAGTACGGACAATAAACTCATTCATTTCTATTGTCCATTTCATTTGTTGGCGTGGTTTTCCAGCCTTTGTGGTCTGTTGATCATCATTCATTCATCATCATTTTATTAAAGTGCTATTATATACATTTCCCGTCCCCACAGGAAGCATTACCAGGAATTTTTTGTACAATTCAGATAACGTAGATAATAATTACAGAAAAATCATATATAGCATTTAAATGAAAAAAAAAATGTTTGAGTAAATAAACAATAAAGAATGTAAAGTAAAATATATACTATATGTTTATGTCATGTAACAAATGACATAAACAATAACAACAATAATAGAACAAGATATTCAGCAGAATATCTTATTATTACCATCAATAATATAAGTATGTGCAGAATATACTTAATATATAATTTATATTAAGTGGCGAGTTGAAATAAGTGTGAAAGAGAACCATGTTACTTTAAAACAATAAAATATTATACAATATTTTTGTTCACAATTTACAAGAAGTAATTATAAAGTTAACAACTCGCCAAATTATAAAGAATATCATGAGACAATATTTTCTTAAGTCAGATAACAAAATATACCCCAATGCACAGAAAAGGACAGTCAACATTAGATTCCCCATAGCACAAATAGTAAAAATACATTTCTAATAGAATTAAAATTAATTATTATAACAATGCCAATAACAAAAATTATAATTAGTACATTTCATATAATCAAGTGACAAGCACAGTACTAATGTTAAAATCTAATTATACATTAAACTATTTTACACATTAAATATCAAAATTACTATGCTTCAAGTAAGTAGGTGTCAAGCACAGTTCTATATAGAGTAGTTCATACAATTGTCTAAATGTTATACAAATTCCTATGTTGATGTTTGGCTTTCTCTTTAAGATAAACTGGGCAGGTTTTATCCATTGTATTATGTGCAGCTTGTGTTAAGTTATCTCGGGAACAGTTAGCACACTTTGGAGGGTTTTGTTTATTCGGCAGAATTTATAAAGATGTTGCCCGTTGCAGTGACTACACACGTTTTCTTTCTCAGTACAGTGTTTTGCAAAATGTTGAAAAGACAGGCATTTGTAACACTGAATTAAAGGAATAAAATCAAATACACGGCATGTCGATCAATGGAGGTAAATTTTACCTGTTTTCATTATTATCTGTCTAATCTCAGGAGTTACTTCAAGTATTCAAGAAACGTGGTCAGGGTTTTTTTCTTTCAATGAAAATTTAATATGGGCTTGTTCGGTAAAGATACGATCAGTAAGAGTGTCAAATAAATATAAATTTTGTTCAAAAATTTCTAGTGTAAGATCCTCTTTATTAATACATTTTGGTACAGAAGCAATTTTTATTAAAGGTAGTTTCGCTATTAAACCAGGGATTTTTTCAGCATTCTCTTTAAAGTAATCAACTTCACTTTTGTGCTGTAAATTTATTGCAAGTCCTCCATTACCAATATTTCTTGTGTGTCGTATCCCTACGCTTAACTTGCCAGGATTCAGGTTATCAGTTAATTGTCTCTTTGTTTCTTCACAAGAGGCTCCCTTCTTATCGCTATAGACTAGAACCGTATATTCTGGTGGAGGCGGTTCATTTATATTACTGGTTTGTTTTACTCCCTTCTTTAAAACATCTCTGTAACTCGGTAAACTAGAAACATTTCTACCTACAGAACCATCAGATGTAATATCCCTTTGGGTGAGCATAGTTTGCTGAATATCTTTCATAAGTTTCTTAATTTCATTTGCTTGTATTTCTTTAAGTTCTGCTAAATCTGCTTTGGAAGTTATTCCAGAGAGTGTTTCTTCAATTAGATTATTGTTTTGCAGAGTATTTTCAGCCAGTTCAATAACTCTTGTAAATTGCGTTATTATATATGAAAGGTGGCATTCAATGCCGAATCTAGCATTCCGGTATTGCTTTGAATATTTCTTAATCTCCTCAATGATACCATAAGCGGCATCATGAAATTTTTTTGTCATAGATTCCATATTATCCAAAAATATATCATATGCCTATAAAAATATGATTAACAGCAGAAAAAATACATTACTTCCGGTTGAATGTTCTAGAAATCTATGGAATCAAAGGTCAATGACCGTTGCCATGGTGATCTAAAAGTAGGAGTTGGAAAAAATCTAAGAATTGCAATTATTCAAAAACTATGAGGATTGTGACAGTGAAATTTTCAGAATAGTTTACATTTAATATCCTAAAAGAACTGCCCAAATAGTTTTTTGAAATGGCCCACTGGATGGAAGTTATTGGCGTTTGAAAAATAACCGGAAATGGTTGCTATCTTCGTAAATATAAGGTCTGAAACCTCAAAATTTTAAACTTGTACTCATGTATGAAGTGCGAAAAACTGTCTGTATCAGGTCCAGGGAGTCCGGTAAATCAAATTCGGAAAATTGATGTTTTCAAACAGATATAACTTCTGAACGGAAAGTCCAAATTAAAAAAAAAACCTCCACGGATTCTTAATCTGGGTACAAAATACTTTCAGAAAATATATAACACTTATATAAAATAATAACATTTACGCAAAAAATCTTGAAATATCCAAGAGCAGAAGTTTCCCACAGCCAAACTCTTTGAAGTACTGTACCTACTGCATCCTCCACAATGATGTCCGGTCTGTTGATGCATTGCCACAGAAACACCAAAGCTAGGTTGATTCCTCACATCTGTTGAGGGAATTGCAGTAGCCATTGGGCCAGTGCTGCTTTCGCCATCAGTAACAAGGGAGACTGTGGCCTATTTTTCGAACGTGAGCCTCTTCCTAACCCGCGAACGCTGATCTTGTTAACCCAGGCAACGTCCAAGCTGGTATCACACTTTAATCTGGTTACTACCATGATGAATAACTCCACAGAATGTGGGTGTGGTCACTCTTAGCTTCATTTCTCCCCATAGATCTTACTTGACATGGGTGTCCCTACCAGGAGCTTGTGCTTTAGCCTACATTGCCCTATGGATCAGTAAAATTACTGGGCTCTCCCACCACAACCAGGTGGTGACCACGGGAGAGTTATTATTATGTTGAGTTTAGTGAGTTTTACTCGGTTCACACCGGTGGCTGTGTACTATGCCGGACCAGAGTCAAGGCATAGCAATCAAAACTAATTAAATAAGTGTGGCAGTGTCTGTATTCAGGAATTTCCTAACAATGTGGCATGTATTCAATATAGTGGCCTTCTGTAGTGTTATGTATGTATTTCTACTCAATTCTAATGTTCCCAGGCTTTTGTGTAGTGTGTGTGGTATCACACCTGTACAGGAAAGAACAACAGGTACAATAACTACCCTATCCATCCNATGTATTTATTTATTTTATTATTATTATTATTAAATGCTTGTTTGTTTTTTTTTTGTATCAAGTCTTCAAATCTTGCAACTCAAATTTTATCCATTTGTAATTAAGATAGAGGGTTGAAGCTTTGAGACCATACCTGTCTGATGACAATGTATACATATACATCATATATGAAACATATTTCTCATGTTTAAAGAAGTATATAGTCTTACATTAATGACTTAATATACAGTTTAAGTTTATTTAATTTAATTATTTGAATCATTAATTTTGAACTAAAAATAATTTATCTGTATTTCTCAGAAAAATTAATATAAAATGTATTCATGTAATATTTTCCAAATGCAAAATCTTTAAAATATCTTTTTTTCCCAGTGTCTATGAATGTAATCCTCGTTGCAAATGCAATTCCTCATGTGTGAACCGTGTTGTCCAGGGAGGTTTAAAAGTACAATTACAAGTTTTTAAAACAGAGAGAAGAGGATGGGGAATTAGAAGTTTAAATGATATACCTCAGGGAATGTTTATTTGCATATATGCTGGACAATTATTGACTGAACAAGGTGCAAATGAAGTAAGGAAGTTTACATCCAATATAATTTTTAATGTTGGCAAGAAATTGAAATTTAATTTTCTAATGTCATATAGGATGGAAATCAGTTTGGAGATGAATATTTAGCAGAATTAGATCATATTGAAGTGGTAGAAAGATTTAAAGAAGGTTATGAAAGTGATGTTATAGATCCAGAAGGAAATAAAACTAAACAAGAATTAAAGACTGATTCAGATGATGATTCCATAGCATCTGATTGGTTAGTTTAATATAAAAATTATATTTTTGTTACTATATAAAGTTTTACAAATTTAGATAGTAAATTAGTAGCCTATAATTATGACTTCAATATTATAGCTCTGATGATAGTGAAAGAAAAGATAATCATTCATCAGATTCTGATTTTGATATTGATTCAAGAGTTAGAATTGAACCAGTCAACCATGCAACTAGGTAAGTTTAATTTTTTAAGAAATTGTTACTTTATATCACAAGAATAAAATAATTAAATTTTATATATGTAATTTAGAAGCAAACAAAAATTAATTGAATTAGAAACAGACAGCAGCAGCTCAACAGCAGAAAAATCCAGTGTTCCCAATTCAGTATCAGACTTTCCTGATATTGCTGATCATTGGATGAAGTCAGATTGTTTTTCTAAATCCAAAAGATTCTCTAATGGAATCTGGATGTCTTCCAACAAACTTGGAACAAATGAAGAATTTAAAGATGATGATACAAATATAGAACTTCCTGATCTAGATACCGAATATTGTATGTAAAATATTACTAAATTTAAACATTTAAATTTATATTGTTTCTATCGTATTCTTTTATTATTTTTAAATGCAAATAATGCAGTTTTTAATTTAAGTTAATAAAATTATTTTTTTAAAGCAAAATGGGAAAGTTCAGATAAATATGTATATACAGTAGAGCGTCAATTATCCTAAAGAGTTCCAGTCAGCAAATTTAAATTTTAGCCACTGTTGTGGTGCTGCAATCTTTGACTATGTCTTGGGCTACTCAAATATTTTACGTTTTTGATACTAAATTAACTTCTGAAGTATAATTTTTTATTGCTTTTATATTTTTCAATATATTTATTTTGTTGGTACAAAATAAAAAAAAAATAATTTTTAACAATACAATAGTCTTTGTTAGGCTTAACATCAACAAAAATTCAATGCAAAGCAACATGCAATGGAGAAAAATTTCAACATGGGATAGGTTAATATATTTTTTCGTACATAATCGGTTATCCGAAATATCAATTTTTCAAAAACCCCAGTCCCCAATTGATTCGGATAAACGACGCTCTACTGTATCAAACACCAATAGTTTAACATTAAAAATAATAAGGTATTCATTAAATACTTTATATTGTAATACAGTATTTATATTTATAGTAATATTGTATATGTTATAGTCGATGGTGTAACCAAAACATAAAATGAAGTAAATGTTCGCTCACATGCATATGGCCAAAGTAACATGATTATACTTTAACTTTGACCACACATTCATATCTTGTATCACATACCTTGTTCTTTTCATGCAAGTATAGTAAACAGTTACTGGGCATTGAAGTGAATAATTGTCAATTGTTGGTCACTGTTGAATTAACAATTGCATATAGTTACAATTTTTGTGATAACTCAGGATGTATTTTCTTCATAATTGAAGTTTAGACTGTTTACAAAAATTAAATTAAATTTTTAAGTCTAACTTTTAATCCCTTATACACCACCACAGAAGTAACAGTTGTAAATTGCTTTGAAGAACACTTCTTAAACAAAGGTAAAAAGGAAGGGATTAAAGTAGACTCAAAGGTATAAGGGATTAAAAGATAGACTCGAAAATTTAATTTAATTTTTGTAAATAGTCTAAACTTCAATTATGTAGAAAATTGCGATTCATTTTTTTTCTGGACCATCACAGCATCATATATATGATTAAGTACATTTATTTAGTTATACAAGACAGGTATACACAATGCATTTATTTTTTGAGATATTCTGTGTTCCATTATTTTAAAAAAATTGAATGTAAGCCGAAATAAGAGTTAAACTGTAGTGTAATACCTATATTTCTTTCTATCTCCTAGATAAGAATACATAGGCCTAAGGGTTAAATAAGTAAATTTATATACTTTATGACCAGACTTTAGTTAATCATATTTATTTAAAGAACTGAGGCTTGAGTTGCAGTTTGTACACACTAACACTTTTTTGTTCTAAAGTTCTTCAATTTTTTTGGCATATTCATTGGAATTCAAAATAAACTTAGTGTATTTCCTCTTCTTACTCATTGATATGTAAAACTCATATAAAACTTATTTCTTTTTTTATTACTATAATCTAAACATTAACAGGAATGAAAATAAAAACACAAAATAAGGTTACAGTACTGTACATACATGGAGTATGGTGGCTGCCACATCAGTTCACATCATTATATGAGCAGCACTGAGGGCATTGTTGTTTTAACACATTTCCAATATTGTCCACTAGAGTAGTTATTGACATCCCTGCTTTGTCTATTCATGTTATTATGCAAATACCATAAATGTGATTTAGTGTACTCAAATCATTGACCATAACATATATATAAATGTAGTGTTGTAACTAGCTTTTCATGTGCCCTGTGCAATATTTTATTTTGATTCCTCTTTTTTTTGGAAAAAATAACTAACCATGTCTATTGTATTTGGTTTTTTTAATTTTTAACTGTAATCAAAAATGTTATGAAATTAGCTTCATAGTGGGATAATTTAAAAATGAAAATGTAATACCAATAATTTTTTTATACCCCATTTTTGGGTATAAAAATGGGGTATAAAAAAATTTTGTCCTGGATTCTCTGTGCATCTGTTGCACTTGTGGCACTGTATAAATGTACTACATTACTATAATTGAATTATAACAAAAAAGAAAAAAATTTAAACTTTAGAAACTAAATAAATAAGAAATATAATATATAAATACATTATTTTATAATTTCTGTCTTAGCAATTTGAGAATTACTTTATATATTTATATAACTTTTACATAATGTTTCTTCATGCTAATTCAAGAAACTGTAATTTTTACATAACTGGAGCTTGAAACTCTTTGTCATATTTTTATATATATTATAAATATCAATTTATTCAACATTATTTATAATTTATGTATATTGATATGAGTTTTTTCTTTATTTTTTTATATTTCATAAATATGAATTATTGTATTAAAATATATTTATATTATTTCAGAAATGCTTATAATGATTTTACAGCTAACATAATTCATTTATTTACTAAATAATACAAAATTAGTCTGATTGGCATATGTACAATAAAAATTTTGAAAGTGAATTCTAAATTAATCTACATTGCTTAAAAATACTCAACGTTTATGAAATTAGTAAATTTACTGGTTTTTTTATTTTTTGAAGAGTAATAAATTTATTTTTACTAATGAATAATAAATTCCTGTTTTACTAATTGAAATTTGCACCACTCTTATTTTATAACCAGAAAAACTCTCCATGTTTTGTCTTTTAATTACGATATATTAATAGTTCAATGTTATTATTATTATTTTTTTTTAATCAAATTTTATTTAATTATTTTCAATTAGAGATAAAAATTTATCTTAATAATGATAAAATTCAATTAAAACATATCAAAAATTGATAGAAATATGAAGTACAGTAGAGCGTCGATTATCCGAATCAATTGGGGACTGGGGTTGTTCGGAAGATCGATGTTTCGGATAACCGATTATGTATGAAAAAATATATTAATTTATCACATGTTGAAATTTTTCTGCATTGCATGTTGCTTTGCGTTGAATTTTCGTCAATGTTAAGCCTAACGAAGACTATTGTATCGTTAAAAATTATTTTTTTGTTTTGTACAAACAAAATAAATATATTGAAAAATATAAAAACAATAAATTATACTTCAGAAGTTAATTTAGTATCAAAAACGTAAAATATTTGAGTAGCCCAAGACATAGCCAAAGATTGCAGCGCCACAGCACTGGCAAAAATTTAAATTTGCCGACTGGAATTCTTTCGGATGATTGACTTTCAGATAATCGACGCTCTACTGTAATTCAATACGAAATTATAGAATTTAAAAATCAAATTCAACAAATAAACATAAGAAATGATACAGTAAAATAAAAAATGAATTTACCAAACTAAGACTAGAAAATGAATTTACTCAATATAAATCGGATTCTATGACAAAAACTATGAATAATAATAAAATTAAAATTTATGATTATACAAATCAGCTTAAAAATATTACTAAAAATGAAAGTTAGCATTATTTTTTATAATACTTTATAAATAGTTCGTAGTGAATCAAAAGGTATAGAAAATATTTACTCAATACCTAATTTAAATATTCAAATTAACACAATAAATATATATCAGTAACTGACAAAGACATAGGGAAGTGTAAAATTGATTTGATTTCTACTTTATTGCGTATGTTAATAATAATTTTATTTTAAACATACAAACAGAAATAAGTATAACAATTAATTGTATAAATTAAGTATTACAAAAATAGTAACTTTCTGTTTCATCAATTGAGTAATCTCTTATTGTTAATTTAGTCAATGTGATAAGCCTTAAAGTTTAATTGTGTAGTAACACAAAAATTGCATTACTTACAATAGAAGCAAGGAGCTATAGTAATAGAATTGAAATTATCGTGTTACTGCTTGTCGATATATGTAACATAAAGTGAAAATAGTGGATGTATACTGCCAGTCGCTAGTTGCACGTGCAGACAGCAGAACAGTAATAATCGTGAGCGATATATTAATCTGTGAACTACAGCATGTATATGTTACCGCTAAAGCTCGAAATCCGTTAATGTTCAGATTACCT